CCTCAAGCTCTTCTGAAGGTACCATTATACCATACACCAAGTTGATGCACAGGTTTCTTTTGCAGTCTCAATGAAGAGCAAAATCTGATCGTTTTTTATTGTGCTTGACTGCAGAAATTTGGTTGCAGTATTCATGCAAAATGCTACATTGAGAAATTTTCAAACTCTGCTTCGTGTGCTCTCTATCCTCGACGATTAAATGTTGACTTAGCACGATTCCAGGAGGAAACGTTGGCACCTTTCTTCAACCCTTCACCTCGAAAACAATTAATTTTGGTGCATCACACATGTGTGGCATGTGTTCTATTAGTTTTGGACAGTTGGTAGCACCTAGTTTAGAGCTTTGCATAGATGCAAGCTGTTTCTGGTCAGTGGTGTAAGGGTTGTGGCGGTCGATTGCCCTCTTCGATCTCAATAACCCACATGTTCGCTCTATGTGTGATGATGCTCCTGGAGGTTTTGGAGGACCTCGAAGTCGTTTCTTATCTGTCAGTAAAATGCTAGTGCTAGTAGCACCTTCCTTACAAAATCTCCAAAACAGCCACATTATTTCTATATTCACGCAGGAGCAAGTTGGATAGGCTGTTGGTTGTATGGATCAAGACAGCAAATATGTGATGTTTCACTTACTTCATCCTTGAAATCGGTTCCTTATCTGCGTAATATGAAGTTGTGTTGATTACGGCGGGTGTAAAATACACACTCATTCGTTTTTAAAAGGTTCTTGCCTGAGTGATTTTATGTTATTATGATGAATAATAACTGTCGCCTCTACTTTAACCTGCCATTTGGTGCCTCCAAATTATTCCTTTTACAACATTCGTCACTGTAAATATACTCACTTGACCTCCTGTGAGGTCAGGGCAGTTTTATGTAGGCCACCTTGGAAATGTGACATCTGGCAGAAATGTAGCAATGCCATCACGGTTTAATTGCCTGGTGCTTATGGTACATTCTGTAAGCTCGAAGCACTAGAATGATCAGTCTTTTTCTTCTGGCAGCGATCCTAATAGGAACAGCGCAAGACTGCCTAAATGCCCTAACTCCCTCCATTCCTACTCACTAACTCCCCCTTTCCAAGCTGTGATGATGTCTCGATAATTATGTGTCGATTTTTAAGTCTTTTTGTTGGTGCATTATAA